ATTATCAATACTTATAATCTTCACTATAAAAAGTGTCCTTCATTATAAGAAATTTCTGGTTATAAGGAATATTTTCTCTGGTCCCGTAGAATTCGTTATAACCAGCTTTGACTGTATCCCCGGTGTGCAATTCAATTGAGTGAACAATTTTTATTAGTTAATATTAAAGATTTTAATCATAAGAATTTTTTCTAAATGCTGTTGGTTTTAAGTTCACATCATGCCAATCAACATCATCACCATATAACTATCATTTTACAGAAAGATATTTGGAAATATTTATCGTAATTTTTTTTCTATTCACAAGATAAATAGTGATGGCTTTAGTAATTTGTAGTTATATTCTAGTATTAGTTGAATCTAAGGTTTTTTGCTGTCCTCAATGTAAAACAAAACTTTATAGAGATATTAGTAAAAAAGAGTCAAGTTAAGCACTTCTTCGGCGACGCAGGAGTCTATTACTATTCCCTTACAGGACTTGTTATTACTTAATATTAATTGAGATTTTCTTAATGTATAAGAGTTTTATTAGTATTAGTAATTAATAACGATAGGTTCTATAGGCGTTACTGGTGAAACGTATTGTATTGTGGTTGGTCGATTTTTCATGGTAATACAATCTTCCCTTACTTATTACTATCACTATCGCTATCGTCATTTACATCATTGAATTTAGTTTACTTCACTTCATTCACGTGATAACGAATTCAAATGCATCTCTCACTTTCTCACGACTTTAGCAATTGCGTGAACACTTTGTGGCGAACTTTTTACGCGCTAATATCATCGCAGGCACTAAAAATTCTGTCACCACAACTATTCTATTACTTGCGCTCATAACGATAACTTCTTTGTTTTAATCTAAGTATCTACAGTATCTACATTGAAGAATTAGGAACATTTGATGGCAGATAACCCTATTGCTGCCTCTTTTGCAACCGCTTCGAGGCTTATGGAAGGCACGCAAAGACTGCTTTTCCACCAGCTTCAAGCCCGCAAAGAAGGAACGAATGCTTTTGCCGATTATGTTATCGTGGTTAAGACGAAGCAAAATGCTGTAGAAGACAAAGACCAGTCAAGCCAGCGTCTTCGAGATACTTGCCTGCGAATAATGACCCAACTAAGTGGAGCTGGGCTGAAGTTTGAAGTACGACGGGGTTCGAAAGAGTTTATCTTTTTTTTCGTTCTTTGTTCAACTGAGCGGCTGAGGCTAGAAGTACGTAGAGCCAGGTGAGATCTGTCTCGAGAATATTTTCTTTCTGTGAGCGTATTCGTTCATTCTGTCTGAATAAATTCTCTTTTAACATTAAAGATTGGCTGATTGGTTAACTGGTGTCCGTATCCGCGATGTTGACGACGATTCTGCTGATGGGAATGATTCTCAATTAACGGAAGCTGAGCGTCTTCGATTGGTGTATGATATAATTACAAATCCTCCCTCAGAAGGGGGAGCGGATATAAAACCAGGCTCCGATAAGTTCGAACTGGTAGAATCACTACTTCCTCTTCATGACAGGGTGTACAACGATGTAAGTCACTTGGTCAGACAACTAAGCGAACTTTAAAAAAAAAATACAGATAATGTCTGAAGGAATTGTTTTATTTTCATATACAGGACTGGATTAAAAGTTGGTCAACAAAATGGATTATAAATAAAAATGATCTGATGAGTTTGCGAAATCATTTCGGAGAAAAAGTAGGTATAACTACGTTGTATGAAGAAACCATGTTGGTTGTGTGATTGCAATAACCTATTTCATTCTTACTATCGTAAAGATAGCCTATTATTTTGCATTTCTACAGTATTATGCTCTTTGGTTAATTGCTCCGTCAATCGCCGGTTTTTTCACTTACTGGTTCCTGGGAAACTATTCAATATTATTCTCTATTTTTATGGTCACATGGTCGCTCATATTCACAGAGTTCTGGAAACGCAAAGAAAAGGAACTATCCATTTTATGGGGGACTCGCAATTTTTCTCGGTTCGAGAAGCGACGGCCCAGTTTTCGTGAAGAGAAATACGTAAAGAATCCCATAACTGGCGAGCTACAACCGTACTTTCCACCATGGAAACGATGGCTTAGACGCGCAATAGCAGCTCCTGTAATCATTGCATTTAGTTTTACTTTGGCTACAGCTCTTATCTTCTATATCCTTCTTGAAGTTATCGTGTCCGAATATTACACTGGGCCTTTCCGAGAGCAAGTTGTATGTATGATTTTGGTTTGCTTGATAATATCTATTTGTGTTAGCTATTTACCCCAAACTTTTATTTTCGCTCTAGATTTATCTACCAACTGTTATATATTGCATTTTAGTTCCAGGAATTAATATAGTATACAATCGGATTGTACGCCAACTTAACGAGTATGAAAATCACGAGACCGAATCTTACCATGAATACAATTTATCACAAAAGATATTTATCGCCAATTTCCTAATTGGTTATCTTTCTCTGTTCTTTATTGGATGGGTCTATCTTCCCTTTAACAAGGAAATTGGAGAGTTCTTCCATGATCTGGCTGAGATACTGGGTTTGTCAATAACTGTAAAGCCAGTAGGATCAGAGCGGTTGAAGAACGAATTGAAGTATTTCATTATTACTGCGCAAGTTATTAACTTTGTTACAGAAGTTGTCCTACCATATGCTTTAAGATATGGTGAACACTGCGTTCAAAAGGCGAAAAACCTTAGCAACACTTCATCAGATAACAATGGAGGGAATGAGGATGAAGCCGGATTTCTCAAAAGAGTTAAGAAAGAAGTAGATCTACCAGTTTATGACATTTATGAAGACTACGCTGAAATGGTTCTTCAGGTTTGTTCTGCGAATAAAACCTTACTGCATACAGTACCGATATTTGCTTAAGCTAACTCGGTATATTTACCAACAGTATGGCTATGTTAGTTTATTTGCTGTAGTATGGCCGTTGGCGCCGGTCTGTGCCTTGGTTAACAATTGGATCGAACTTCGATCGGATGCAATTAAAATTTGCGCCCATACTAGACGGCCTATACCAGCAAGAACGGATAGCATTGGCCCTTGGTTGGATAGTTTGGTAGGTTTTTAAAAGTTCTTTTATAATATCTTAATGTCCTCGCTATAAACGAAGATTTCAAACGTCGAAAAAACTTTTTTTTTCATTGTTAATCAGACAATAATTACATGGCTGTCAACTATCACCAACCCATCATTCGTGTATTTATATCATCCGAGTTCAAATGCCTTTGTTTCTCCGTCAGCCATGCTAGTGACTGTTACATTGATCTGGTTCGCAGAACACATTCTCAATGTATTACGATATGCTTTACAACAAATGCTAAATGCTTTTCCCAGCTGGGCTGATGAGTTGGTTCAGAAAGAAGAATATGAATTAAAGAAGCGCTGGACGGAGAGGGTTGGAATTGCTCCAGTTTTATCACTAGAAAACGAAAATTATAATGAGGCGTTAAATAAGGAGAAAGGTGAGTTGCTTCGGTACGAAACAACTCACACAGACCACCAAGAGATCTTGAAAGAGATACTCGAGCATTTAAAAATGGAATAGAAGTGCAAAGGCTCATGACAAGGACCGTATTGCTACCGGTATCCGAACTACGTCGAATATTATATGGACAAAATAAACTTATGCTTTGTGTTTGATTAAATGATACTCGCGGTTCTCGTATAGCTCTCAATTAAATTTATTGATTGCTGTGTTGTGCACCTTCGTTTTGTCAATAAATGTCAGGCATAGATACAAAGGGATAGTTGTAATCTATTTTTTTTCACCCTGAACAAAAACCACAATTTAATATTCAATGGGAATAGATATTTTAATTCTCCGAGACGCGAAATACCTTTGCCATTTTGTAGCTACCATGAAGAGCACCGATCAGGCCAACACAAATAATACCAAAGTGGAGGTAGACGTAGCCACGTGAAGTAGGACTACCTTGCAAGAAGAGAGGACCACGTTGAGACTATTCCAAACGGGAAGTGGCCATTAGTACGGGTGCAATAGCAAACGTTTGCAAGAGACATTTACTTGAAAATATTTCTGAGCTTCAATTATACGGGATGGGCCTGGCATGATTTCGTTGTATTCTTAAAGACGAAGAGATTTATTTACAAAATGTCAGGCAATCGGCTCGGTTATAGATTGCGTACTAAATTTAGACCAATCACTGTACTGCTATTTTTGACCAGCGTAGTTACTAATACATCCTTGACGTAGCAAGACAGTATGAAATGGTTGAAAACAGTTATTAATACCAGTATGTCAGTTTGCCTCTTCAAAAGATCAAATCAACAGATCCCATGAAATAAACTGAATGCCAAACTTATAATTTTAACAGCGACCAATTGTGAACAGGGTTAAGCTTGTGAATTCACTCAATTATAAATATTACTTTCACGAAATTGCCAGCCAGTCGTCTGCTTAAGAAGAACTGCGCGTAACTTCATACTATCCGCAATCTATTGACTACAATTAGTAGGAGTTTATTATAGAAATTATTAACGCAGACGTTAAGGAGCCTTTCTTACTATTCATCTTTCTTATTGTCGAAGTTGATTTCTAATAGCATAAAGTTTGAATATATACAAAGAATGAGCACCCCGGTTCAAGGGAAAAGGAAGAGTGAGGAATCATCTCTCGCAACACAGGAAAGGAAGAAAGGTCTATAGACTTAGACGCGGCAACCAGGTTGATATTTTTGCCTAGCAAGTTTATTTATTCACATATACAACTTGCGTTTATTCAGCTAAAATACAAGCTCGCCGAGCCATTGAAACACAAGCCAAACCTACTGGCGATAACTCCGCAGGTAAAGTTAGTCTGTATTTGTGAACGCAGACTAGCCGAATGCTTCGAAGCAGAAATGCTTATTCCAAGCTTTTACTTTACTTAGTATCTAGTCAAGCACCGAGAACAATTGATGTAGTAGACTTTGCAGAGGTTCGTTCACACTTGAGTATCATTTATTGGTGTTTTTTCAAGTTCTAACTAGACGACTTTAGGCGCGTGCCTTTGAAATTAATGCTATGAACGATGCTTTGAAACGCGCCGAGTAGGTTAACGTTTGATATTCTTATCTCTTTATTAAGCGTTTTCAACAAAACTAAAAGTTTAATACTTTAAATAGACAAGGTCATAACTCAAGTGCATCGCAGCTGCTCCCTCGTCGTCTCCGACGTCGAGCTGCAAGTCATAATGTGAAAAGGCTGCCGATTCGTTTGAGAACCAGGGCCAAGTCTGAGGTAACTAAACATGAAAACGATACATCCTATTATGATTGTGATTTATTATCAAAATTATTGACATACTGTTGACGATTTTAGGCACAGGATAAAAAAAACAATGCGAAGGAGCAGGCAAAGCGTGTACGAAGAACACAAAAGAATAAAATCCAAGAATATACGCGTCGACAAGGTAATTTGGTACCTAAGCACTGGTTGTTATAAATTCAAAAATTACATCAAAAAGCCTTTACGCTTTTCAAGCTACGAAGAAATGGCTCGAAACCCATATATGGCACGCGAAAAGAATGAAAATGACCGAACTTTGGGGATTCAGATTGGTAATATTGAAATATAATTTACTGTGTTTGTTTATATATTCGTCTTTTCAACTGTACAACAAATTACCATCTGTACTATAAAGGCGGATCACCCATGTGAAAAGAGTATCAAATCATCATATCGTGCAAGCTCTCATCTTTCCATGATTCACGACGCGTCTTACTTTGGTTGGATACGTATTGACGGCTTCGAGCAAAGTATAATTGACGTACTCAAGTTCGTCTTGAATCCTTGCGAAAACTGGATCATGAGCGAAAGGTATATTCTTTGCCCATTGTTTTAGTAGCGTAGATTTTAGAATCCTATAATATAAGAATGCTCTTGGTATTATTAAGGCTTCGTCAAAGATATATAGCGCATGAGAATCAAAATATTGACGTTTCATCTTTATAAAGATATCGCTCGGGAAAAAGGTATTGCTCGACGTATATGTACGCGTACAAGGGATATCCAATGCATCTCATTTCACCTGTTCACTTGCTGTGGAAGCCTGTCACAGACACGAATAGCCATATTCGAAGCATGTTAATTTGGGTGCACGCATCGGCATTTGATGAAGTGTTTGACGTCCTCCAAAAAGCGAAGAAAGAGGCATCCATAGATCATGAACGTTGGTATTGGAGAATATGTACGGAATTTGTTCACTCTACGCGCATTGAGAATAATCAGTACCGAATTTTTTGTTCATACAACAGTGAACATTAATATTCGACAATCAGACTTTCTTATGTTTGAATTGACTGGACCAAGATCGACTGCATTATTGCAAACAGTTTTAGATCTTGTCGATGAAGGAGAATGTACAAGTAATGACGCTCCCAATGATATGACGGAATTTACGACAACAAAGGGTGTCCATATCAACACTGATGCACACAAGGTATGTAAGTCTTTTGACAAACTGTTTCACGAACATCCGATATAACAAAATATTTTAATCTCATTGCAGATTTGGCGTACGTTTAGAGATTTGAGAACGTCTGCTTCTTTACCTCCCGGAGTCGTTTTAGGTTTGACTGTACACGATCCTCGACTACAGTAAGTTTTAATTAGTTTCCGTAATTTCCCTCCAAATAGCGGTTTTAGGGACAAACCTCGTAAAATTTTTACACTAAATTAATAACTGGAACTATTTTCTTCTTTAACAAATAATGGTGCAATATGCTTTCACTGTGTTAGATTTCCAAAGAAAGTAAATTCAAGGACGAATATTATAGCAAAGGAAGCCGAAAAGGAAATACACGAGCTTCTTCTTCATTGGCCCGGAATGGTTATGCAATCAGACATTTGGGACGATGGAATACTTCAAAATCTGGCCACAAATAAGGTTACTGATGGGAACCTTGACAAACGTCGTCAGAAGGTATACGCCCGTTGTAGCAGCATTTGCTAATTTGTTTTCTCGTTTCGTTCGTTTGCCTGCTTAAAATTGAGCTCTAGGCTTCGTAATTCCGATCTCCGTTTTAATCTATATCGCCACAAGACCCAAATAACGGAATATAGATCTGACAGAACAATGTTTTGATTTACCTCCGTTTTGTTTTTCTATTTACATTTGGTCTTCTCTGTTCTGTACGCGTCAGTAACTGATCTCATTAATGTTTCTTTGTTAGTTTTTGATCCCTGGCCGTAAACTTACGCCTTTTCCTGAAGACAGTAAGATTCCTATTCTCTTAATAACTCGCAATTCTTCATCTCTTACACATTATCCTTCTCAAGAATTTATTAATGGCTGGGCCGTAATTATTCCATCTCACTGGGGAATGCCGTTCTGGAAATCATTCGTGTTTGCTGGAGCATGGGTTGGCGGATTAAGGGAAAGAAAGAATCAGCATTTTGAATGTGGCCAATCCTGTTTTCCTTATGATTTTCCTGGATGTAAAGCGTACCGAGAATATCAGATAAAAGAGAAGAAACGTTTGGAGAACGAATATAATAAGAAACCACCAGCCAAAAGGGTTAATTATAGGAAACTTGAAATAGAAGAACCATTTATGCCACCGTTCGAAAGATTGATTAATGAGGAAACTGATTCAGATGAACAGAACGAGAAGTATGATAAGGATGTGGGGTTATGGCTATTGCAGGGATCAAAACTTGTTGATATCATAAAAGATGATGCCAGTAATGTTGAGGAATTAGAAGAAAACTGTAAAGAGAGAATACAGATGTATATGGAAAGTAGAGGGGCGAACTTCAGTTTCAACTTTGATTTATCTAAAGCATTAGTCCGTGTAAGGATAACGATGTTAGATCAAGGTATTCCTCAAAAATGTGCAATTCTATACCGACTTGAACGAAGAAATTATGGACTAATCTGTGAAAATTTGAATGCAAGAAGACGTACACATGTAAGTTGGTTTGTAATTAACTGTTTTGCAGCATATTCTAGCAACAATTAAAAATGAAATTTGGTTTGTTTAAAGTCTCAAAATCAACCGACTCTTCCACACAAGGATGAGATAATTGGATATATTACATCAGGACAATATTCATTTTCCCGAGGACAAGGATTTGGGTTTGGGTGTTGCACTTTATCCGGGATACTAGAAGTTTTCAAAGCACAGCTAAAGTGAGTGAAGAAACTTATTGCGATACCAATCTTATTCTGCTTCTAATTAACTATTACCATTAACTATTACCTCAAAACAGAGAAAAGAGAGAAGTCAAAAATCTTATACTATCAAGAAACACTACAAGCAATATTTGCTATCCTGTAAAGTTTGAAATTTTAGCATGATTTCGCAGAAATAAATTTAGGCTTGTGCAGCTTCTGGGATAATATTTCCCTGTAAAAACTGATTGTCTGTACAATGCCCTCCAAAAAGTCACGAAGTAACGTAAGATTTTTAGTATTTAATGCATTAAATAAACTTCTTGCAGCACATAGTTTGTCGATCTATCCTGGAATTTCAATTGACAAAGTTTATAAAGAGATTGCATTCAGAATGATTTAAATACATAATACAATTTTGCGTTAAAAATTGCTGAAAATACTAAGTACAGATATTCTATTTTAATTATGCCCCAATTAGTTCACTTGTCCAAGCCTCAATTTAGAAACTATTTTGCTATTGTCAGTAAACAAAAATAGTTCGCGTTTCGTGCATTGGCAGAACAGCTATTTCGTGTAATATCTCTAATTTTTTGATGCAACTTTGTCATTATTTATTTTAAATCATTCCTGATTTGCGCAAGGCAATCTTTTCGGATAAAATGTACTTGATATGCACAATTGCATAATATAAATTTTTAACTTGATGCTGAGTCGGCCTTTATTTTCTGTTCCGCCCAATTCGGACAACATATAAACTCTCGTTAAACTGGCAAGTCAGACGACAATTTTCCATCAATTCATTATTTAACGATTTACGTCTACTAAACAAGTCTTCTTCTATTATGATACTTTATCGTCTGGAATGAATCGACGAAGATGTTTATAATGATATCTCAGAATTGGCATAACGATGAAACCGGTTATAAGCTGGTTGGGAAAATGATAAGATGGAACAGTTCTTTGAAGAATGGCCGGCCGGCTCGAATTCAAGCATTTGAAGAAAGAATGCAGCAAGTCGAACGGTAAGAATACAGTATAAATTTAGTTTATCAATCAATGTACAGTATTTATAATACTATGATGGAAGCGACGAGTCAGCGCCAATGTAGACAAAAAATTGCTAGGAGAGGTGGAAGAATAGTTCAGTCATTTAGTGTAGGTGATATGGTCAGACTACGGATTCCAAGAGCTGATAGAACACAGCTTGGTAAAAAAGTTTTTGCCATGCAAGGTGTTAGAAATTGTAAGAGATAAAAGTAATATAGCAGACTTTCATGAGTTGGAAGATATACCAGATACAGTACAATTGAGACGTCTGGCTAGTTAATAGTATTGTTGAAGCCCTCATTTAAAATTGATAAGAGTTGTCTTGAAACTTCAACCCGTCGCTTCTTATGTTCTTCAGTT